ATTAACTAGAATTATTTTCGATAAAAATACTTCTTCACTACAATAATTACTACAATTATTACAATTCCTACACGAAAGAATTTATAAAATAAAACCGTTAAAAAAATTACCGATTATAGTTTGTAATGCACTATAGCATTGTTTTTTAACCTGTGGTCCGCGTACCTCTGGAGGTCGTCCGATCTATGGACATTTAAATTCATAGGTAAATAAATACCAGGCGCAAGTTTCTTAATCGCTAGGTACGCTTATTTCACACGGCCAGCGTACGCCAGCAGGCGGGAACCGTGTCCGTGCCTACCTACGAAATAATTAAACACCTTCGCGATTTGAGGTCTTTTCGGGACTATTTTCCAAAACCCGACAGAAATAAAAAATGAATAGTAGACCATTTCAACACAGATGTTGATGCAAAAAAGCAGCACCACTTTCACACACTTCACAGTTTTTTTTTATTTTTATGAAAAAGTATTTTTTGCAGTACCTACTTACTAAAATAAATTGTCCGAAATTTATTCCCGTTTTTTTATTAAGGGGTCCTCAAAATTGTATTTGATTTTTTAGGGGTTCGTGTACTGACAAAGGTTATAGAGCAAGATCCCAGGGCCGCCAGACGTCACGTATTTTCTGACGAACGAAATGTGGACGATTGGGTCATAATAGTATGTACTAAGATCGCATGCCTACCTTCTAGCTTGGTTAGACGGCCAATTTCCAGGTATCAGGTAATCAAAGTAAATTCTGATGCTCCATTTTTATATATGTTCGCCAGAAAACTATTTTAAAACCCTTTACAAGAAGACAGACCAATCCAAAGGGCCAATTACCCTCTAAACTCAATTTTACTACCCACAGAGGCATTAATTTAATATTTTTTTATTGCATACGAGTTAAGGTTTACATGTTCTTAACTAAAATAAATGACCATGAGTACCTATATAAAAGACTTAATTTTGTTTTAGTGTTATGATAGACACGCTTTCTATTAATTGCAGTCAAAATAGTGCAAGTATGATTTTTTTAGTGTTTTTTAGCTCGGCATTCAAACACAATTTTGGCCGAATGCCGGCTCAAGCCGAAATCGGTTAAACCAAATGTAAAAAGAATTTTGGCCCATCTCTATTTTTTAGTTTTTGCCAATTAGGTATTTGAAGTTCTATTTAGCAATTTTTTAATCTAACCTACTTTTAAACCCATACATATATTTTTGAGATCGCCTCTTAAAAACCTTTATTTTGATAACCCACTCAATTGATTTGGAAGAATTTTTTTTAAGGACACAAATTGGCGCCGAAAATCCGCCATTTTAATTTTTAACTATTTTTATATAGCCCATGATCCTCGCGTTATCAAGACGAATCTAACATAAAATCGGCCTATGCCAATGGTCTGTAGAACGCCACATACGAACAAACAAACGTACATACATACATAGACTGATACACACATTCTCTTCTTTTGCGCCACGTAGTCAGGTAAAAAACAAAATAGACGACGAGTTACATTTATTAGCGTGATTTTTCTATTTGGTGAACAAAACAAGAAAATAAAACGTCGGTACTGAGTTCATCCACTTAATTGCAGTAAATTACAAGACTGGCATGAGACACACGAAAATGAGAAACTATCTATCGGACGTTTTTTAAATTCTATCGAATGTGAATGATTAACTTCTTCTACTTTTCTCCTTTATTATTGTTTCTTCTTCTCTGTTCTTCTTTTTCTCTTTGATTACTGTCCGTCATCTTGTGTCACCTTGTACGGTTACGTTTGTACGTTCACTATAGTTTACGCATTGGTCCTCCACGGCGTCGGCTCTAAAACTGATGCGAATTTCTGGCGGAGTGTGCGGGGTCTGTAGTAGGGTTACTAAGCAACAAGGCTGTCAAATAAAAACATACATATTGCAATGGATTATTGTTTAAATACATAATATATTATTATACTATATTTGGCTACGAGGATGGGATAGGCATTTCTTTTATGGCTTTAATATGTTCTTCTGTTGGATGCAGTCCATGTTTATCTATCTTGTGTCCTAATAATGTTACACTTTCTTGTAGCCATGAGCATTTGGAAATTTGACTTTTAATACCCGCTGACTTATTAATGTGATCCGTTAAATGATGTAGTAGAGTTACTAAGCAACAAGGCTGTCAATTAAAAACATACATATTGCAGTGGATTATTACTTAAATACATAATATATTATAATACTATAGGGTCTTCAGAAGCGGACGTCAAACACGTCAGAGTTCTAATAGTATACGGGGTCTAGACCAAAACATATTAACAGAGTGCCTTCCGGCGGGCGTCAGAAATTTTCTAACAGAAAAAAAACTTATTCCTAATATGCGGCCAGCCTAAACCGTACTCACACAAGAACTTTGGGTTTGTATCAGCAATATCACACCTCTATCAGTTTCCCTGCGAGACAGCATTTATGGGCCTATTATTTAAAACGAAAATGAAAAATATAATATCCTCAATATTGACCATCTGTAGGAAAAGAACAACCTGTTTTTCCCTCTAGGATTGGCTCCAAACCAAGCAACTACAACGGAAATTTTATATTTTTCAATTATTATAGCCCGCCCATTCTAAAATCAACAATGACATAGCTGCTGACTCCAGGGTTGGCTCCAAATGAAGCTCTTCTCCGATTGACTGTTGAGCAGTCAACGGCGCAAACATGAAATTTTGCATACCTTCTCATCCAGTTATGATTCAGTAGACTTAATAAGTGTACCTACATCATGACTTATACACTAAATAAATAGACTAATAAAACGTATAACTAATACGCATTTTCTCTTTGTTGAAATGTTACTAAATATGTCCTCATTTTGAACTAAAACGCCAGTTTGACCAAAGTTAGTCGTGTCACAAGTAGTATTTATTATAATTATGTTTTCTCTCATGAATATATTTTTTTATCAGACACACAGTGTACTTTCAGAATATGTAAAGAAAAGACCATATCGTATGACATAATTTTTTTCGTTATTCGGGGGCGTACATAAGGCATTATCAATACCATTCCTTTCAAATCAATCGGATCTGTTAAAGTTAGTACGACCATTTTGTCAAATAGAAAATGAGCTGATGATCAACAAACGCCTAAAGAGATCTTCATAAATTATAGCTAAGATACATCTCGATTACGTCAGCTGTCAAACAAAAAAAAACACATCGAAATCAGTCCATTCGTTTAGGAGCTACGATGCCATACAGACACAGATACACAGACGTCTGTCTGTCAAACTTATAACACTTCTCTTTTTGGTTCGGAAATTAAAAATAGAAATTGATGGCATGATTATGATAACATCTGATCGAAGCAAGACAAGAACATTAAAAAAACGTTATATTAAAAACAGTTTAATAAAAGTATATAAAAAATACAATTAAAAATGGAATATATTATAATATAAACAATTATTTGAGCACCTTATTACCCTTATATCCTATACAGATAATAATTAATATAATTGTAAGATGGTTTCCTTTGTATCTTAAATAAATAAATAAATGCAAGAAATCTATACTAATAAAATTATAACCAAGCCGAATCTGTACATAAAATATTTTTTGGAAAATCTTATTGAAATAAATATTATTATCGATACAGAGGCCGATTATATTGTTTTTAAAAATTTTGTCTGTCTGTCTGTTACTGCATCATAGAAAACCCACTGGAGGGATTTTGATGAAATTTGAATGGTAATAGCTGGTTATCTGGGTCAACATATAGGATACTTTTTACCGCGGAAAATACCTAATTTCTGAGAAAAAAATATAAAGACTGCATTGTAAGAGTATACTAATATGTAAAACCTAAGAATTTGGTTTTTGGTCATCTGAACGCGGGCGGAGCCGCGGGAAATGTTAGTTCTATATAAATAATTATATTTCCTAATAGATGCTCGATTTATCCATTACAAACAAAAATACAAAGCTTTTTCTGTTTATAATATTAGTATGTATGAAAAAAAAGTATGTATAATCTAAATTATGCTGTTTTATACTTTCACTGGTTCCATAAAACTAAATGATTAACAGTTCTTTCCCTGCGCGAGTCTCATTGTTGATGTCATACAATAAAATAAAGCGAATATTATATTATGATGGTTAGTATGGAAGATGGAGAGAGAAGATGGAGAGAATGGAGATCGCTCCCTTGTTCTGTGACAAAAACAAATCGTTCCTATAAAAACCTTTCATTTTTCCAGGATAAAAAGTAGCCTGTGTTATTCCAGATTATAATCATCTCTGCGCCTAATTTTATCCAGACACGTTCTGCCGTTCTGGCTTGACTGAGTAAGAAACATCCATACATACTCACAAACTTTCACATTTATAATATTAACTAGCGACTCACCCTCGCTTTGCTCGGGTTCGCCTCTAGGCAAATAATAACAAACCTATCCCACGGGAACCGTACGTTTTTCCGGGATAGAAAGTAGCCTAGTGTTATTCCAGACTATAATCTATCTCTTTGCTAAATTTTCATTCATTCAGCTTCGTTTCATTCCGTTCTCCGTTCTTCCAGTTCGTCCCTAGCTAACTTTCATCCCCATTTTCACCTCCTTAATGATGATCCGGGATAAAAAGTATCCTATGTCCCTCCCAGGGTCTCAAAGTATCTTCTTACCGAATTTCATCTAAATCGGTTTGGTAGATCCAAAGATTACCCCTACAACGTCACAAACTCACAAATTTCACCTCTTTATAATATTAGTATAGATAATATAATAATATGGATGGGATTATACCACAACATGATACAACATAAACCACCCATTTTCCTTTTTAAAAATTTGGTCATTCGCCACTTTTGCAGTAATGTTAGTGCAAAAATGACATAATGACCACCCTAGAAGGCACTAAATATCACAAAAATCTGTCAAAATCTCCCATAACCTATTCGTATAAGAAACATACAATTTAAAATCATTATATCCCCACTTTAGATGTTGTTCAAAAATGTACCGATATTATATTTTACATTTCCTCGAACTGGGGATACCAGCTTCTCCATACAATTTATCCCAGAAGTCTATGCGCTCTTTCTCATCGCATTTACCCATAGACAACGTTTCGTCTATCTTTAAATACTCTTTATTATCTGTGTATGGACGCCATCTTAGTCCCCACCTGTCATCTGGTGTAGGGTTCCTGAAAAAATTACAGCAAACATTATTTTTATACAGATGTGCTCAAAGCCATTGGGGAAATAATGTAAAAAAACAGAATGGAATATTAAATTAAAATTATTTATTTGGCCTGAACTCAACTATTTATCATCGTATTCGACGATCGACAGTTTTTGGAATACTTAAGTATGTTATGATTAACATTACTGGTGACAATGCAAGTACCATGAACAGTTACGAGATGGCACTATTTCATATATGCCATTTTCAGCAAGAGAACAGATAGAATTCTAATTAAAAAAAATGTAAAAAATGGTAGAGATCAAAATAGTAGGAATTTTATTTCCATGTACTACTTTATTCCTGTACATTTAGGCCCTTAAGTCAATAGTAATTAACGATATACTTAATACAGTAAATACACTTCTCCTAAAGGCTGATAAAATAAAATTTTGACCTACAATTTTTTCGGGGTTAGGTCCTTTTTTTTGATAACCCAATATGACCACCCCTAAACTATGACAATTTATTGATTTCAAAGCAATAAAATTTCAAAATTTACATTGAATTGAAAATTAATTGGGTTATTAGGATTAAAAGAGATTGTTTTTTTAGAGAAGTTCTCGTAAAATCATTAGTTAACAGACCCAATCATCCATTCACGAACCTAAGAATCGAACCTAGGATTTTGATTTACAGCCGTAAAAACTTGTTAGTAGAACCAGACTGAACAAATAAATGAAATAAATAACATTGAAGGTCTTACCCGGTTTTAGCAAAATCAGTCCAAAGCTTGGTCATCATATACACAAGCTTCCTTAACTTCTCTTGTTCCTCACATTTTTCCTTATTCGTCATATTATTGAACAAATAAAACAAATCATCCGCATGACATGCTCCTTTTTCCGAAGGCACACCTAAAATCATCTTAAAAAAATTTAACTCAGTATCCAAGTTAAACCTGTATAAGTATATGGTTTTGCAATACTCTGAATAATACTCAGCAAATTTAGTTATGCCATACACAAAATGTAAGTCCGAATTGATATTACAAATGATTTCGGTATCTTGTTCAGTCAAATCCCTATTGCGGTAGTAAAATTGCTTTATGCGGTCACCAAATTCTTTAAGTTTTTGCTCTGAAATCATCTGAACTAATTCTCTCGGCACGAAATAGGAAGGGGTTTGGTTTCTGATATTCAACCTCTTAACATCAGTAGTTATCATCATCATACCTTCGGATGAATTATACCCAGCAATAAAAGGCACCTTATAAAATTTTCCTCTAAGCATTAAGTCAAGAGGCCGTTCAGATAAAAAGGCTTTATCACTAAACTTTTCAACCACCGGAGCGAAATGTATGGGCAACCCTCTATATTTTTCTTCTCTCGTCTGCGTTTTATAAGTCATGGAAATCAAATCAGTCGCTGGGACGCTTTGTAAAAACTGGAGCAACTCTTCAGGATCATTTGTATGTTTCCCAAGGATTTTTCCAACTTTGAAGGCTCTTTCTGCAGCATTTATCTCGTAGGCCCAATCTGTCAAGCACACGCCGCTTTGCGATATAGCTTTGTGAAACAGTCCATGACTTAAAGGGGATATCATGTGGTACGTAACAGAAGCTCCGCCTGCACTTTCACCAAATATTGTCACATTTTCAGGATCACCACCGAACTGGCAAATATTGTTTTGAACCCAACGCAGAGCTGCTACCTGATCTTTTAAACCAGCATTACCAGGCACTTCCAGTGTGTCGAGACATAAGAAACCCAACACTTCTAACCTATAATTTATTGTTACAATAACTACATTGTGTTGTAAGAGAAATTTTGGGCCATATATCTGGGAATTTCCTGATCCTGAAGTAAAACCTCCGCCATGAATGAAAAACATTACAGGAATTTTCTTATTTGCGTCCAATGATGTCGTGTATACATTCAAAAATAAGCAATCCTCATTTCCTTCTAAAGTTTCCCCTGTCTGAAGATCTAGCTGTGGACATACTGATCCATGGTGTATTGCATCTCTGATTCCTTCCCATGGTGTTATAGGAAGCGGTGCCTGGAATGTTTATAATGAAATAAATGTATAAATATAAATTCAATATAATTTTTCCCAGTCACACTTTTACAAGTATTTTTGGATAATAAATTTTACTAAATAAGAATCAGACTGTATGGAAGCTACCCCCAACTCTAAATGCAGTTATGGCAAATAAATTACCATTTTTCAGAAAGATCAAAAAAGAATTTAAGGACATTATTCTATTTTGAAATAAATAACATGAATTCTGTGAAAACTATTTACAAGGTTTTGCATAGTATAATACACAAACTTTGTGTAATATATTCTGGCATCATAGAAAAACCTGTCTTCAATAAAATATTATACAATATATATTTAAAGAAGCAAATGAGATAACAAATATTTATCAATAGTAATTACAAATTAATGTTAGTAGTCTTTACTGTATTTCTCAAGTCATGTCAATATTACGTAATGTATTGTCACGTCTAGTCACAAGCAATGAAATGTATATGTTGACAAGTTTTCTAATTCATATCAACATCATACTTTGCAAAAGAAAATGTACCATCTTTGCTTCAAAATTAAATAATTGTTAAGTTGTTTCAGAATTATTTGATATACATCTTTATCAATTCATTGTTAACAACTCGAATCAAATATTATACACATTTCATGTTATATGTGTTGTATTAGTTTATTTTATATTTTTATAAGACATATACGAACTTTGTGTTGTTACTATAAACCAGAGGAAACACAAAATTATGACATTACCAGATGAATTCTTAAGCTATTATGTAGTTTTATTTTAATTATTATAATATTAATTTAATATAAAAATATGTATGTACCATTAGTATATGCAGAAAAATTTAAACAACAAACATAAACATAAAAAATCCTTAAAATAATATTTTCGCATTTGAAAAATAGTTGTCTCATATATGTATACTGTCTTTTACATAAACTCATGACTTGTAAATACATTTTATCAAAAAAAAATAACATAAAGGTGGAAGCATTTATCACTGTTTAAAAATATAATATGAAAAAATATGACCCATATTTTATATGGAAATGATAGATAATAAAAAAGACATACCTTAAATCGAAGTTTTCCCACAGGCGCTTGAGCATATCTGATACCTTTAAAACTATAATATTGGGTTCCATCATTTAATTGCTTCACAGCTCCCCTTATATTGCCTTCTTTTAAAGCTACTACTGGACTTACCTTGAATTAATATACAAAAGAGCATTAAAACTAAACCAGTACCTATACTAATATTATAAAGAAGTAAAGTGAGTTTGTAACATTGTATGGGGTAATCTTTAGATCTACCGAACCGATTTAGCTAAAATGTAAGAAGATATTTTAAAGCCCTGGGAAGGACATAGGATACTTTTTATCCCATCCCTTAAGGGGGTGAAAATGGGGATGAAAGTTTGTATTGGGAAGCAAGATAGGGACGAACCAAAGGACATTCGCTAGTATAGAATATAGTAATCAAGCTTCTGACAAAATTTTGCTAAATAAATAAATAAAGCATACAATACATAGTGTATTTGCAAATTTACGCAACATCAAGAAGTAAAATATTAGTGCTTTTAATAAAATAAAAAAATTAGGAACACATTTAATTATATTTGATTCACTTACCGTTGCAGATGAAAATAATCTAATCTTACTTCGTAATGTAGGCAAAATTTTGTCAAAAAGTATGTTCATTGTTTATTTATAGATTTTATGCAATATACTAACTAAACAATTAATGTTTTGGTTGTATTTTATATGAAATTAAAATGAAACCTTAATAGAATTCATGGTTTGCGCAGTCCCTGCTTAAATATAAGGTAAATTATCTTAATTATATGCCAGCAAATGCGTCACGAAGTTTTATTATCTCGTAGCTTTATAACCTCCTTTAATTTTCATATAAGATAATACACATAAAGTATTTAAAAGAATTAAGTATATATTTTAATGTTCAATTCAATTCTTTTGTTTCGTGGCGTTCTAGGTGTGCCAGTTGGGCTCAATTTACTTTCTAATGTCGCGTAGAATGAAGAATAAATTTTAAATTGATCAGTGAACAACGATTATTGAACGCTGCATAAAAATTAACAATCATGGATTGGATGACAATTGACAAATACAGTTCCATGATAAACAATGTTTTTTATTTGTCATCCATGACAATGTTTGATACAAAATGCAAATTACAATTTACAAAGAGAATGTAAGTTTGATAGATGTCAAAAAATTATAGATAATAAATTGCTTGCTTTTCAGAATAGATTATAAAAAATAATAGTAAGTTGAACAAATAGATTGTAAATATTATAGTTTACACTTTGAAATTTCAAGATAACTTTGAATAAAACTCTACGCATATAAAAATAATTTAAAACTTCTTCTGTTCGGTTGTGGAACAATAATGATGATTCTACCTATGGATGACATTTTTGTACTAACCCGCGTTTGTTTAAATAAGAATCTCTTAAAATTAAGATGATTTATTGATGAATTTCAATTCAAACAAATTTGAGAGAAGTTTTTATTTATATAGGTACTTTAATATATTCTTAAAATTTTATGTAGTTAAAATAAACTTAATATAATAAATATCTACATGATATATAATATAAACAAAGATCGCGCTTATATTTTTTCAGGTAACTTTGATGACCACGTAATTTTATCATTTGTACTTAAGCCGGAGGTCGTTACTCGTTATTAATTTCAATCGAGATAAGTCTGTATATTGTGTTTTTTTTATTAATAATACAGAGCAATCTAGAGAAGTATTTATTATTTTGTGCTACTAATAATTTTTTAAGAATAAATTATTAGATGAAAATTATAGAAGCGTTTCGTAATATAATATACATTAACAAAAATAATATTATATATTATGATATACATTAATAAAAATGATATTTTATACTTGTCCACTCAATTCTATCAATTTAATGGCTTGAACGATCTGACTAGCTAGTAAAGCGTAATTAAATTTTAAATTATAGTTGAAACTAGGTATATTTTCGGAATTATTTTGGAACGTAATTTCTTTTAATTTTTTGGTCCCGATGTTTTGCTTTTTTTACCGGAATACAATATTACCGGAATACAATAAAAAGTTTTTGAAATAGTGAGGAAACGCAATTAGGTATACAATTATAAAAAACGGTGTCTACCCACAAAATTATAAAATCATTTTGAAAAAAGAAAATATGTATCGAGCTAGCTTAAATTGTACGTATAGTTTAATAAAGTAGCAGGTGAGTTAACTAAGCGGATTTCTTATTTGCATTAGGTACTGGAGATTTTTTGAGCCCAATACTAATCCGTTTAAATATGAAAATCAAATATTTTGCCTGTAAAATAGTGAATGCCTATTAACTTTAATTATAGGCAAAATATTTGATATTAATTTAATGTACATATTAATTTGAATTGAATTTTTACATAGTATTCAACAAAGCTTACCCCGTTTTGGAATTATAATTTATATGAAGTTACTTGGAGTATCTAACTCCGCCGCACCAAGTACGCGTATCGGAACGTTTTTGGCGCGTTAACAAGAGCGGGTAATATAAAAAAAAGAAAATTAAAAATAAAATCCTTTTCTACTTATAAATACATATTTCTATTCTTTGTATTTTTTTTTATTATTTATATAATTATTACTATCTTGAACACTATGAAGCGTACAAGCGCAAAAATAACGTCCGTTGCGATTTTCGCACTTAAATTCATCAATAGAAATGGCTCTTTTTGTCTACCTACCTGCTTATCTTCTCACCCACTTCAAACTTATCCAATGCAAATAAGGATTAGTAATATTATCAATTTAACTGCGGCCAGGAATCATTTTTAGAGCGGCGATTTTGCGATATTTGCGTAAAACAGGCCATTTGTTCAAATAAACTTTGTTTTTTATTATTATAATTATTTGTATAGTATTATTTATATTATTTAAGTGTTTGCACGTGTTGTTCCATGATGCCAAGTATGGCAAAAACAGCAGGATATACTGTCGTATTGCGGACGCGAGGTGATATCAACATTCAACACGTATACATCGCGTTTTTGCTTTCTGAAGTCAAATTGTTTAGTAAATATACCTAATATTATTTATTAGATTATTTAATTATTATTATTAAAAATATGTTAAAGAGAAAGTCATGTTTATTCTATTTTTATTCTTTGTCTATGCCTGATGTAAAAACCAAAGACCTCTGGAGAAAGAAATGGATTTACCACACAATGCCTTTGTAACGTAGTAGAAAATAGTTATCGTTTTAGATATATTTTACAATTAGTTACATAATAATATATTCTATTAATCTAAAATTGAATTTATAGATTAAACACTTTTTATTACTAACATTTTAAACAACAATGTTTTGAGTTGTAAGTAAATCATTAACAACAAATAGGTAGAGTTACATTTCTGCTAATGCAATCTGTATGTATATTATACAAGATTCCATTGAGGGTAGTTGAATGAAAAGCATGTTCGGTCTGTTTTATTTTTTATTTTTCTACCGTATCTTCTCCATTCTACACGACATTGGCGAAGTAAAGTGTGCCCAAATGGCGTATAGAAGCCACAGAACAAGGAACACATTAATTTGTTATTTAATGTATTTTATTAAGTAAACAAATCTGGTGCCAAATTTCGTGTTCTAAGGGATTCTGAAGTGATACATCTATACATAAAATAAAATTCTGACTAAGCCGAATCTGTACATTAAATATTTTTTAGAAAATCTTATTGCAATAGACATTGTTATCGATACAGAGGCCGAATCTATAGTTTTTAGAATTTTTGTCTGTCTGTCTTTCTGTCTGTCTGTTACCGCATCTCGGAAAAACCACTGGAGGGATTTTGATGAAATTTGGTATGATGGTAGCTGGTTATCCGGGTCAACATATAGGATACTTTTTACTGCGAGAAAATATCTCATTTCTGAGAAAAAATACAAAAACTGCAATGTAGTGCTGAGTATACTAAAATGTAAAACTTATGAATTTAGTTTTTGGTCATCTGAACCCGGGCGGAGCCACGGGCAATGCTAGTATATGTCATAAAAACATTAAAACACTTTGAATTCAAACGTGCATCGAGTGCCAAGCAACTTGTCGTGTGGACCACTTGCTTAGATCCCATGCCTTTTTCTTTGTATGATTAAAACGTAACTTACGCGTTTGTGTTAAGGAATAAACAAGTAGACTGTCAGTAAAAAATGACAATTATTATAATATTCTTCTGTAAATCCAATCCCAACTAAGATTAGCCCACTGCACAGGAAATATTATATTGCACAAGAATACGCGCAGACAATACGTGCACTCTCTATTCCTTTCACCTATCTTATCCACCCTCTATTTACCATGCGAGCAGAGCCGCGGGCAAAAGTTACTACCTATGCTAATATTATAAAGAGATAAAGTTTGTGAGTTTGTGACCTTGTAAGGGGTAATCTCTGGATCTACTGAACCGACTTAGATGAAATTTGGTTAGAAGATAGTTTGACACCCTGGGAAGGACAGGAAGGAAATCATTCCTTAAGAGAGTGAAAATGGGGATGAAAGTTTGTATGGCGAATCCGAGCGAAGCGAGGGTGAGTCGCTAGTTTATGTATATAATTGTAAGGATGACTTAATTTAGTGTTTTATATATTACAATTTCTAAATAGTATCACTTCTACAATTCTCAACTGGAACAAGGTAATGTATGTGTTCAATAGGCTTCATCGGTGTTCTTATCAATCCCATATTGTTCTTAGTACCTATGAGCACGGTATTATATGCATTACTATTACCGTGCTATGAGTTTTTTAATAATCAGTAAATGAAATTGACTTTTGAATTCTCCTCTATGTGATGAACTGAAATTCCCTTGAGGGTAAAGATTTTTGACTTTTAATTATAACGAAATGCAAAACTGGCCAGTATGTATCTCAAGTACATTATAAATGAAAATATATTGTAAAAAATTTAATCCTATAGTTATTTTTGTGACTCTTTTTCCAATCCATACTAATATTATAAATGCGAAAGTAACTCTGTCTGTATATCTAGTATCATTTCACGCTTAATCCGCTGAACTGATTTAGATGTTTGGTATGGAGATAGTTGGAGACCTTGGGAAGGACATAGGATAGTCTTTATCCCGAAAATCTTCCTTAAGGGGGCGAAAAGGGGGTTGGAAGTTTGTATGGTGAATCAATCATTTCTCAAGTAAGAAGTAAAACTCATCATACCTATGTATATGTATATTTATTCCATACTGACCGTCAAAACGTACCTAGAGACGAACACAAGCAAAGCGAGGTTGAGTCAGTAGTTAAATTATAAAAACTACAAATGTCAATTGGTATTATACAAGATACATTTGGCCTCACATCAGCCTGAAGAATCTTGAGAATAGGCATCCTACGAGTATGATGGTGAAAAAGATGATTTTTGACAATATGATAATGGCGGTTGCAGAAGGATATTTATTGGTTTCTCGTAAACCTACCAAATTTAGGCTCCTTTGATTATTTAAATTAAGCCTTGTTCATCGTCATCACGAAGATCTGGTGATGAATCCAGAAGTTTAGCAAATTGGAACTTGATTTTTGATTATCTGAGCTATTAGAGTTAGTTTCTACTGAAAATCATTGAATATTTAAAAAGCTATTGCAAAAATTAATATATCCCCATATTATCTTTTC